CTGGAGAACAAGACTGATGAGGAGCAACTTAAGGAACTGGGGCTGCTTAGTCTGGAGAAGAGGAGGCTGAGGGGGGACCTTATTGCTCTCTACAACTACCTGAAAGGTGGTTGTAGTGAGGCAGGTGTTGGTCTCTTCTCCCAACTAACTAACGAGAGGATGAGAGGCAATGGCCTCAAGTTGCATCAGGAAAGGTTTAGATTGGATCTTAGGAAAAATTTCTTTACTGAAAGAGTGGTCAGACATTGGAAGAACAGGCTGCCCAGGGAAGTGCTGGAGTCACCATGCCTGGAGGTGTTTAAAAAATGTGTAGATGTGGCACTTTAAGATATGGTTTAGTAGGCCTGGTGGTGTTGGGTGGATGGTTGGACTCAATGATCTTAGACATCTTTTCCAACCTATGGTTCTATCCCTGTTGTCCATATGTGCCGTTGAACCTGTCTTTTTATTGTTAGCCATTTTATTCTGGGCCATACTGAATTATGCCATTCCTTTAATGCCAAATAGCAGAAGTGGTTCCACTTGGAGGCTTATGATTTCTCCTGTGGAAGAATATTCAAAGATATTTGCTACTCTAGACTCTTCAGTTGCGCCTTATGGACATGTAACTGGCATTTTGATGTATTCTCAAATGGATTCCTTTTACGTTTTATTTTTCCTTCCTCAGAATATTGTGTTCTAGGTAGGAAACCTGTTCACTAGAGGATTAATTACTCTTTTCTGAGTCTCTTGCTGAATTTTCATGCTCTGCAGAATGTCACAGTATAAATAATCTTACAAAACAGGATTAACACTGTTTTTCCCAATGAAGTATCATCAGAATACCCAATCTGTGTAATTAAAGTGCTGGGAATGCTGCTTGTTTTCTGGAATAGGTACCAGATAAATAGCTGGTTGTAGATAGAGTGTTTGGTAAGCTCTAAGACAGAATGCCTGTTTATTATGTTTATGAGATAATGTTTAGGGAACCGTATCTACTGTACTGCTTGGACAGGAACAGATATACCTTTGAAAACCTCAGCAGAACATGCTGAAGTGCTTGTCCCCATCCTGAACTGACAGATGCCCACAGGAGTGTGTGCTGACAGGCCCAGTGACAAGTCATCCTTTTCCCTTCAGTCTGATTGAATTCCCAGATCTGCAAATCGAGCGTTCTTAATGCTTTTGGTCTAACTGAAATGTCTCTTCTAAACTGTAAGTCATTTATCTGAGTTCTAATCTCTCCTGCTGAGCTGTCACAGTCAAAAGGCAAATCTCCTTACCAGGCAGACAGATGCTCTGAAGGTGTAGGGAGGATTTCAATTTTAATGGAGATGTTTTCATCTCCGTGAAACAGAAGTGCCCGAAGGACCCATGTCACACATTGCCTGCAAGGTCCTGTCTGCACCCCACATAGGCACAGAGAGCTAATTTGAGGTTGTCTGGCTGAAGGGTAGCCATATGGCACTGCACTTGGAGTAATTAGCCAAATGGAGGGAGTTAGTTTGTGTAGGGTCAGTGAGGCACTCAGGTGTTTTGGGGACCTTTCTGTGGCACTGCTGGTGTTGTCTGAAGATGTCTTAGGGATCTCTGGGATGGTGTTGTGCTGTAGTGCATAATGCTGAGTTGCTCAGGCACCTCACAAGGCCTATCCTTGATGGCAATGCTCCTGTTGCTGCTGGGGGAGATGGCTGTAGGTAGGTGCATCCCCAGGTGTGGGGCTTTGCCCACACCCTTGAGCATCCCTGCAAGAAAGTGAGTGATGGGAGTGCTGGGGGCACTTCTGAAACTGCCTGTGGAGGTAAGGGTGTTCATGCATGCTATGCACTGGCAGGCCTCTGGGTTGGAAACCAGCTGCTCTTCGGGAAGGACTTCAGAAGACCCTGCTGAAGGTATGGTACTCTGTCCTGCTGGTGCTGAGTGCCCTGTGCTGACTAGGACTGTCTTCTTGTTTTAAGGTCAAGTGGCAGAAGGATGACATGGACAACAATTTGAACTTCTTCTCTGTCTCTTCGGATGGGCGGATTGTTTCATGGACTTTAGTTAAGGTAACTCGTACGTGGCAATTTCTTTTCCCAGCCAAATTATAACCAATTGCCTCCAAAGTTCAATAATGCATTAGTTTTATTTTTATCTATAATGAGCCAGGTTTGAAAGGAAGTGGCAGCAAAGGATTGCAGGTGCAGTCACAGCTGGGTCTGGGGCTCCATCTTAAACTCTGAAATGAGCAGAACCAGCCTACTCCTTGCTCAGGACCTAACCTTCATCCTGCCTGCACCTGTAGCACCCCATGGGCCTGAGTGCAAGATGCAGGAATTCAGGACTGGTCCTTCCTCTGAAACTCCTTGTCCCAGCAGGGTCACCCAGAGACAGAGCAGAATAGTCTGCTTTCTTCTCCAGCTTCAAGACTCTCACCCCCAAAATGCTCCCTTAGAGAGTGCAATTCAGAATGGGAGGGGGAAGGTGCAAAGTTCTCCCATTGTGGCCAAAGTAGCACAGAGTAATCTCACCTTTACAGTGGGATGGCAACATTCAATCAGACAGGCAGAGGGTTTCCCCTTGCCATGCCGTTGCCAGCTCACACCCAATATAATCTCCATTAGCTCGTTTGCGTGCCCTGCCTTTGATCATCTTTTGGAGTATGTACGTTGATAGAAACCTAGCATTAATGTCCCTAAATGACCCTTAGATTTAGGTCTCTGGATCTCAGCGTGTGTTTTTTCTGTTGGCTCTTTGATTTTACATTTTGAAAATTTCAAAATATTTTATTTAACAAATAATGGAATTGCCTTAAATGTGAGTTTGAAGCAGCTGTCCCATTATTCCCCAGCAAGCAAAGAAATTTCTTTACATCCTGGGATATTCGTTTTTTCAACCTGTTATGCCAAGCTACTCAATGCTTGTGTGTTCTGAAAACTTTAGGCCTTGCTGCCATGGGCAGGAATTCATGTCTAAGATTATATGTAAATCTTAGTCTCATGCTCGCCTTAGGAGTGGGATCCTCTCCTAATGAACATGGTACGTGCATGCAGATGGCGTTGGTTAGTAAGTTCTGTTTTATAAGCGCCTCCAGGTTCACGCATGCAGCTTTAGATACAAAAATCCCTCCTGCAAGAGTGTCCCAAGTCCTTCTTCCAGAAGACCTCTCCGAGCTGCCTGGACACGGACAGGCTGCCGTTGTCCAAGCACTCAACTCCTGTTTTATCTCCTGTATAAAAATGCTCAAAAGATTTAAGTTGAAGTGGGTAATACAGGCCTACAGCTAAACACATCCGTGTGAGGTGACTTCGCAGGTTACACTATCAGCTGAGCCCCGGTAACTGAGTGTGCTCTGCCTGCTCCACTTAGGAGGCAAGAAACACTGGGTTAAGCCTCTTACTTCAGAGAAGTGCCACAGCTGGGACAACCTAAGAGTCTGCAGATGGACTCTGATGGCAACTCATCTGGTAGAGGGTCTTTTGCAACGTTTCCATCTTTCATTTGTGCTCAACTGTGTTCCCATATCGTAAGCTGTTTTTTTTTCTGTCCCTTGAGCATGTAGATATACCTACTTGAGCATCCTTTGTGTGACTTCTAAGACTTACATCCACTTAGCACAACGTCATTGCTACTTACTCCTTGCATTTCTGTCATAAACTTGGCCAAACCCATGTGAAAAGCACTGTTTTAAGGTTATTTTTTTTTTGAGTTGAAGTTAACTCTGAAATTGCCAGAGCTGGTGTATATTTAGCAGGCAGGGGTGGAAAACAGCGAAGTTTCTTTTTTTGGATGGAAATTCAACAGAGAAAGCAAGAAATGGAATGTAAAGGGCATTTTGTTACAATCTGTGGTTTTGTACCCAGCAAGGAGAAATTGACAATCTGCTTGAATTCCAGTTTTACAAAAGAGTTGTCATTGGATTTTATTTAGAATAGAATTGAAGAGACTGGAGAGGTCTTCCATTCTGCAAACCCACAGTGCAAATAGGGAATAAACGAAAGAGAGCTCAATTAATCTTTTTGACAGGACTATCCAGAAGTAAAGCTTCTTCAAACACTGATAGCTGTTTGACACTTCCAAAGCTGAGAGCAGAAAGCGAGTAACTTCATTCTTACTTCCAGCTGGATATTTGGCAAGCCACACTCAAAATTTGGATAGCAGAGTTGTCAAATGTTAGCTAGGGACAGTTGATCTGCCTTGACCATAGTGGCTATCTCTGTTGGCAATGGGCACAATCGCTTTGGAAAACTTCATGAGACAGCACGTGAGCTGTGTGTGCTTAGAATGTTGTCCTGACATGGTTTTGGGTCATTGTGAAGGTGTAAAATGGTGAGGAAGAATGCAGGACTTCTTCAGCTGGATCACTTTCCCACCTTGGGTGCACATGTTGCCTATCAAAAAGCAGAGCTGTCAGAGACACGTCAAGGAATCGGTTGGGATGCAGCCTGGCACTGCTTCTCAGGCTGATCCTCAGCAATCCCAGGTTTAATTAGTAGCCACAGTTCACCTTTCCTGTGTGACCTATTGCTAAATTGCTGCACAGCTCTGGGCCTCCTTCATCACTTAAGGCTAACAACAACTACAGGGAAACAGGCAGCTGCAAGGCCTAATTCACTAATGCTAACAAAGTGCTTTGCAATTGTTAGGCAGGAGCAACATACTATTGTTCAGTATTCCTGGAAGGCCAAACTGTCAACATTCTGTTTACCCAGAGGAATATGTGAATGGGTCTGGCGACAAACAGCCCTAGGAACAGATGCATTCTCCGGACTGCAATGCTGGGTACAAAATAAAAGCAGCACAATAGGGAAGTCTGCACAAGTAAGATCCTTAGTGAAGGTGAGAGGCTACAGAAGCTGTCCATGGGGGTCTGGGTCAGGTGGAGGTGCTGGGAGGCATCTTCAGAGAAAGGCTGCAGAAGGGTGTGTGCCTAGAGAGAAGGCCTCGTGTGTTTTGCATTTCTACTAGAAAAGACAATAAATGTGCTAGCACATCTCTGGGCCCACCCAGATCACCTGTCTGACCTCTGTTAGACACACCAGGTGAGTGATCATGATCAGCTACAGGCTGATCCAAAAGCTCCAAAGCTGCTCTTCAGACCAGCCTCATGTGGCCACCAGGCATGGCTTGCACACGGATGCTCTCTGGAGAGCAGGCAGACCTATGAGCTTGAGCAGAAGCAGATGCGTGATCAGCATGTCCTGACTTCTCTCCCAGCAGCCCATCAGTACTTCTGTTTGGATGGGCAGCAAGTGGCATGTGGAATATGCTCTGTTCCTGCATGTTCTGGAAGCTGCTCTTTCCAATTCTTGCACACATGTAAGGCATCTTTCTTAGCATCACTGCTGCCTTCACCCAGTGAATCTGACTTGGTGTAATCCATGTGCTGCACGAAGAGTCGCTAACAGAAGGTAGGACTCTGCAGGCTGCAGGAGTCTCTCCCTCTTCTTGCTCTCTCAGAGAATAGTTACTGCCATCAATAGGCCAGGGCATGTGGGTGTGCGGCAGTGCAAATTAGTGAGAAGGAAGTATGTTATATTATGGGTTTTAACCTTTTGTAATACTTCTGTAAATTTGTACCCCCAAAATATGGTTAAAAATATCTTACAGAACACTGTCCCCCCTGAACTGCAGTACTGAATAGATGCTCACAAGGTCTTTTCTCACTTTCCATAACACACAATTCCCTGGGATTGGCTTTGCCAGGCAGAATCTTTTTCCACCTGAGTCCTGCGCTGGGCTTAGAGAAGCTCCAACTAAAGCTTGATTCACAGAGCTAAGAAGTTATGTTGTGTTCTCACAGTGCTCCAGTGGGAAATCTGCAGATTCATGAAAACATCCAGTCCTCAGCCCACACTGCTCACTAATTTAATCTTTAATTCTTTGTTCTTTTTATCAGCCCCAGGGTATTCTTATACTCACAACCAACTCCATTCTGCAGTGGTATTTTAATTCCCAAAGCTAGTCTAAGAATGGATCTTTGCCCTCTCATTGTTTCCTCATATTCACCCACATTGTGTCTATTTTCATCTGTCTTCTGTCTGCCACCTCGACTGTGAAGTCTTTGGGACACAGCATTTTTGTCCTGCGTTCATACAGCACCTAGCACACCACTGTCATGGCCTGCAATGAGAGCTCTTTAGAGCTCTGCTGGTAACAGCAACGTTGGGCACTTTTCCCCTGGGGGAGCGGCTTTGCTAGATGTTATTGTTACTTGAATCTCGGAGACAGTGATGCTGTGAGTATCGGGAACTGAGGCTGCTCTGGGGACAGCAGGAAGACAGTAAGAAGTAGAGACTGGAAAGGCGGTAACTTACTATCCATTAATCTGAGTTTTGGTTAGCTCCATTGATAATGTGCAGTAGCCATCTTAAACCACGCAGGGTGATTTCAATTTACACAATGATTTAAGCTGACAGTGTCAACCTCCACTCAAAAATATTGACCTTGAAACCCAAAGCTTTCCAGGTCAGCTGCATGTGTCTTGGTGACGTACCAGTGGCTCTCAGTTCCGGTGCACCAAAGCATCAGTTTCCTGGAGGTTTTATGTAAAACAGCGTGTTAACAAGTTGCCAAGTGCGAGCATGAAACATTCAGCAACTTGTGGACAGCTTTTTAAAATTCCTCCATAAAATTTGCCATTTCAAAGTACTGAATGTCTCTGTATTGTTGCTGTAAAGCCTGTTATTCAAGTGGAATCTCCTCTGCCTGCAGAATGAGCTGGTTCATACAGATGTCATCAAGCTGCCAGCAGACGGGTCAACGGTGCAGGGGCCAGAGGGGCTGCAGCTGCAAACATTTGGTAGGAGCCCAAGTCCTTGCCATGCTGATTAATTACTGACACAAAGCCTCTAATCAGTCATTCTGTGGAATTAAACTGGGAGTGGGGTGCTGAGATGGAAAGAAGCTAAAGAATGGGTTACGCCTCTTTGCTTCATCATGTAGTAGGGCAAAGTCTGTCTGGAGCAATGGCCACTAATGGAATCAAGTTTTGCTGGTTACATCTTGCTTTTACTTTCAGAAAGAGGTGAACATTAATTCAAAAAATGCCCATTTTACTGGGAAATCCCAATGCAGACAAGGCACAGGCGTTACCTGTATTTGTCAAAACTAAGTCAGTTTTGTTCTTCCTACAGATTTTTTTTTTGGTTTTGTTCTTCCTGCAAGTACATTCTTACAATGTACACAGTGCATCCAGCCAGTGTTGGGATGTGTCTCATGAGGTTTTGGCTCTCTGAAAGCTCGGCATCTATTCTAAGCTACTAGGCTCCCTCTATACGAGGTGGAGACAACGCAGTCCTTCTAGGCTGAATCCCCTCATTCTGACCATCCTGTGTTGGAGACAGGACAGGGTGAGTCAGCTCTGGAGATCCTGGACTACACAGGGAGCGCTGAGGGATCACCTAATCATCCCACTGCACCTGCTTTTGGCTGTGAAGCTGTGGCCTGAGTTTGGAGAAGGCACTTGCTCTGCATTTAAGGATTGCCCCGTTTTTAGGCTAATAACTGCTGAGCAATATCTTTGTGAGAAGGTTTGCATTGCCACATAGGTTCCAAGAGACCAGCTAAAGCAGTACACTGCAGAACTCCCAGGGGCTTTGGAATTATTTGTTAGTGTTATGGGAAATGGATTTTCAAAGCCTTGTCTTGAATATTTAACAATCTATTTAAATGTTAAAAATGCAGACAGTATTACAAGGTTGAAATGACCTTAACAATTCCTTTGAGGACTACATTTTGTTAACATTTAAGGCATGTTGAAGACAGCTGCCTTTTTTGCAAAGTTCTCTTTAACTATGTGCTTCTGAGCGTTGTCTGCTTGTTCCTGTTTCTTGTTTGATGATTGCTGTGAGTGTCCCTGATGACCAACAGCCCCAAGTTTCTTTGGCACTGCACCGACATCCCATCTTCTGTGCTAGGACCCTGCTAAAATTTTCTTTCACCACTATGAGAATTCGCTTTCTTGGATGATGTTGCATCTCCCTCCGGAGCAGAAGCCACAAAATCTCAAGGAGTCACACATCCTGTTGTGGTTGAAGCCTGTTTTAAACACAGTTTGCAGTGTTGCTTGATTCAGAGCTTTTGAAGTTAAGAGGATCCTTCTGTGCCTGGCAGAAGATTTCTTCCCAAATCACATCCTTTGCTATTGGCTTTACTGAAGTGAGCCTGCTAAATGGCTTCTTATCTAAGGACAAAAAGGGGACAGGGATGTATGATGTGGTGTTTCCTCTCTGTGCTCTTTTGTGCATGGGAAACCATTTATATTTTTGTGAATACGAGACAAACAGAAAAGATCTGTTCCTCCCCAATAAGAGGCAGGCTTGGTCCTCCTAACTCTTACATTTCCACCAGACATTTTTAATTCTTACCAAAGTGAATCCTGGGCCAATTGGTTCTTCCAGTTTCCTTCAGGTTCTTCCAGTTTCCTTTTCCCTTTCTCTGTGCTGGCTTTTCAAATTGCAGGTCTTGGGGACAGGTGCAGCTTGGCAAGTGTTTGCAGAAGGGGTGGCTCTTCCACCTTTTGGTTTCTTTTGGGAGCTTCTGGCGAATAAATCACTTCTGAAAGCACTGGCAGTGTGTGTGTACCATAGGCAGGGAGCGTGTGCTGGCCAGATGAACCAAGTGTCTGTCTGACAGACCTTTCTTCTGTTAACAGGCTGCGGGACATCATTTGATTTTCACAAAAAGATAGACTATTTGTTTCTTGTTGGTACTGAAGAGGGAAAAATCTACAAGGTAAGAATGGTTTCTTTGTCCCTTGTTTTACATACCCTGACCCATGCTTGTCTTTCAGGTTCGTCATCTTCCCTGTTTGCTCAGGCAGTAACAAAGTACAACTTCAGAGCCTGGCCCTGCCCTCAGATCCCTGTGGTGAGCCTGAGACCAGCACAGAGCCACGGAGGGTCGCAGGGAGCACTCTGCACAGACCCAATTAAGACCTTATTTTGCAGAAACGTTTTTCATGCAAACTGCATCCCAGAATGCTTTGCAGAATGCAGCTGTGCAAGTGAGGCGCTAACTATGATCAGAGCAGAAGTTAAAAGGCATTGATCCTCTGTCCTCATGGTTATGGGGAAATCGCAGGAAAAATCTCATCTCTCTTCCTTTTTAGACCTGTTATCCCGTGAGCAATGAGGCTAATGAAGCCTTGTTTCCCATGGACTGGTGTCCCGCAGCCCTTCCCTCCCACAGTTACATTCCAGATCCTTTCCCCAGTCCCACTTTCTCGTTGCCCTCCTATCTCCAGTTCCTCGTTATGTCCTCTGATCTTTTCTCCCTCTGATCACCCCTGTGCTTTCCCCAGCTTGGTGATCCCACCCTTGATTCCTGCAGACAGTGCTGGTGACCTCCCCTCCAGTGCCCTCCTGCAGCCTGACACCTTGGTTGGCCAGCCAGCTCCAGCCATGCCGTGAGGGCAGCAGCCAAGCTTTGACTGCCCTTCCTGGGCTGAGGGCACTACCCAGATGTTTGCACTCTGTGGCCATCCCTTTTTATAGAATGTTTAAGACCTTAATATTGCCAAGTCCAACGTGCAGCCAGCTTTGGCTGAAATTGCCAGTGAGGTCAAAAGTTGTTTGGGAGGAGAGACAAGCTGACAGCAGGGCATAGACGTTGTGTTTTCTTAAGAAATCAAGCTAAAAATAGGAAGTTTTGAGCTCTGCTGTATTTAGCCTTGAAAAGAAAGCCAGTGGCTGCTTACTCATATAACTTCTGTTTGCACAGCATTCCTCTGAGCTGGCTTTGGGGCTTTGCTAATATTGTAGCCACAGCCCTTCAGTGTGGAGAGTGGACCATCAGCAGGAGGCTAATGTGCACAGCACATCCATCCATCCATCCCTAGAGGACGCTGTAAGCTCCTTCCCCATGTTCTGCCTGCAAAAGGGAACCAAAACAGAAAAAAAGAACCCATAGGAAATCATATTCTGAAATAAAAATCAATCATCTAGGCAAGACAGACTTAACAAATAAGTATCCCTTCCAGAGGGATGATGCTGATTGAAATCTCTCTGTCTGCCAGGCAGTATCTAGGGAGGATTTCTGAGCAGTGCTCACTTGCATTGGACAAGACAGGTGCAGAAGGAAGGTGGGAGAAGTGAGGGGTCTGGGCTGGTAGGCGATGGGCAGTGAGGTAGGAGAAATGGCTTTTTGTTGATACTTTCAGGATACAAAGCATCTGTTCAGTCACAGGCAGATGTTCTGAGTTGGCTGGTCACCCACAGGATTTGGTACCCTGGGTACTGTACACCAGATTGTTTGGGTACTGTTCTGTCTAGTCCTGATCAAAAGGAACCACATGTTTTAACTTCCTCTGTGCTTAGGTGAGTGCTGGATGTCAGTGAGTATGACAGTAGATGTCGGTGTTCGGTGGGGACCATCAGTTACCCTTCAGGAGAAATCTTCAGTTTGGTGGACTGGCCGAGTTACGCAGCAAAGCGAATCTATCATGGAGGAGGACTGCATAGGAACAGAATTTCACAGAATCCCAGAATGGTAGGGGTTGGAAGGGACCTCTGTGGGTTATCTAGTCCAACACCCCTGCTGAAGCAGGGTCACCTAGACCAGGCTGCACAGGACCATGTCCAGGCGGGTCTTGAATATCCCCAGAGAAGGAGACTCCACAGTCTCCCTGGGCAGCCTGTTCCGGTGCTCCGTCACCCTCAGAGGGAAGAAGTTCTTCCTCATGTTCAGACAGAACTTCCTCATGTTCAGACGGAAGTCTGTGCCCTTTGCCCCTTGTCCTGTCACTGGGCACCACTGAAATTTGGCAGCATTTGCACTGGCAAAGCTGTAGGTATTCCTGCCTTGAGTGATCTTCAGTGAAACTAGAACTAGAATGGGTTTTTAACAAAAGGAGTGATCCCAGCCATGAAGGCACTCGGGTATTTTAACCAATTCTTCGGTGGTCAAATGCAGAGAGATACTGTTATACAGGATCTTCTCTTTTATTGGTGCTAAGGCTGATTTTGGGGTTACTGGCAAGCAACAAAACATTCCCGTATAGGTAAGCCTTAGAGAAAAGTGGGACCACTCTCACGTTATGCGACACTGCTCTATAAACCAGTGCTCCCATGGCAGGAAGAGACAATCTTCCATCAGATTGTATGGGCTAACATAGGGAAGACAAATCTTGTGTCTAGCACCAGCAGGCCTCCTTTCTCACAACAACAGGGGAAAGAGTGCTTGCACCCTTAGTATCTCCCGAGAGTTTGCTGCAAGCAAGTTCAAAAGTTTTGCACTCAACTGCTGCTCCAGATATATCTGAAGGACTACGACACACCTTCATCACACCCTTTATTGAAACAGTGCAGGTCTGAACCCATTACTGGAGCTACCTATGGGCCTCCCAAAACCTTGCTCCGCTCAGATGCTAAGCACAGTGACAGTCCCACAGCCATCTGAGTGGCTTGCGGGTCCTGTGGCTGCACTGAGCAGGAGTGAGCTCCTCGGGTCTCTGTGCTGCGCTTGCCCTTGCCACTGCACGTTGAGTGAGAGGGACAGACCCCTTTACATGCTGTATGAGTCAGGGATCAAACACAGGCTGCTCTCCACATGGGCTGAATTTTAGATTATTTATTAAATAAACGGAAAGTGAATTTCATAGAGGCAATTTTTAGAGACCAGGCGTACCCACAAATACTATGATAATATGTTAATTTTTTAGCTGCAGAACAATTACTGTGAATTTTTAAAAAGGGCGTAGTTAATAGTGTTTCTGAAGCCATGAAATCATTATCTTAATTACACACAAACCTATCTATTGACCTTTTATGTAGAGGACAAACTGTTTCTGCATTAATAGGATTCTGTAATGCAAAACTGCCTCTTTGCATATCTTATGTGCTGTTTAAGAATTGTTCAGCTTTGGTATCAAAAAGTATGTTCTCTGAGATTCATATTGAAACATTATTATGGCTCCAACTCTTTGGACAGAATTACTTCTTAATAAACAGAGCTTCAACAGAAAAATTGTGATGAGATTTGAACATATTCATGTAAGAGAGCATTTTTTTTTATCAGGCAGTTTGCTTGAGAGTGTGACAAATGACTATAATAAAACTCAGTGCAAGACTGTATAGCAGGAAAAGGTGATTCTAATTTTAAACAAAACTAATTTCATTCATACTCATTCTCTCATACTAAGAACAAGGACATACATATCTGTGTGGTCAGGACAGGATTTCTTGTAGTTATACAGATGACAAAGGATGCTGGCTGTTGAGTCCGTATCACATCTCTTGGGTTTTCCTTAAATGATGATGACAAACTGGTTCCTGGACAAGCTCCCACTTCCAGGGACCCTGTAGTAATGGAGAGATCATTTGCCTCAGTGTCTAGCCTTGCTGCAAAGACAAAGTTGTTTTCCTCGTCTGGATATTTTATGGCTTCAGTTCTGTTCCTAATCTTCTCGCCACCTTATCTTTGGGGCTTCTATTTCTCTTGTCTGCTTGTCTTGTCACTTGACTGACTGCATTTGCCATCAATTAACACAGGTTCTTTCTTTACCATTTCCTGTTGTTTCTCCCAGTGCATTCACGTGGCTCTGTTTCCATTTGTAAGCCTTTCTACAAATCACAGAGTCACAGAATCACAGAATAGTAGGGGTTGGAAGGGACCTCTGTGGGTCATCTAGTCCAACCCCCCTGCCGAAGCAGGGGCACCTAGTTCCAGTGCTCCGTCACCCTCAGAGGGAAGAAGTTCTTCCTCATGTTCAGACGGAAATTTCTGTTACAGATCTCTACAAGAGGCACTGAGCAAAAACCAAGGAGTCCCTCTGGTGTTGCTGGTAACAGCTGTCCGCAACAACATGGGACACATTTATGTCAGTGGTTTCTGAAGAGCAGCTGGCTGTCCTGGTCTGCCTGGGAGTGCCAGTATTGGGCAGTACTCTTTCTGTTACCAGACAGAAACCTCCTTTGAAAAAGATCATTTTTTGGATTTCTGTATTGCCTACAGTCTGCGAGTTGTTTCTGCGAGTGAACTACAGAAGCCCTCTACATTTTAAGGACACTAATAACCATCTATTCACCATGGATGCAGAGGAGTTTTGTGTCAGGCTAACATCTAGCGTAAATTCAAGTGCTGTTAATGAAGATTATTCATAAGTTTTGTGCCCTTGGAGATCTCCTTTCCTCCTAGTATTCCTCCCCTATGTTTTGTAGCCATCACCGGTCATCTTCATACTGGTTTTCTGTGTTGCCATAGACACATTCTTGCTTTCCTGTCTCATCATAAAAATACCATTTGCTATTCACACACATCTACCACCATTTAAATAGGAGAAAAACATTCGCAGCAAATTTGAGCAGTGCTTTAGAAGATCAGACAGGCTTCAAAAATGCCTGCTCCCTGAATCCCCTCACCCTCTTCAAAGCTCTCTTGTCAGGAGTTAGGCATCACATTTTCCACTGGTTTTGTTTTTATCCTGACACGAGTCTAAAAACTGTAGGGTTTTTAAAGTGAGTAGTAGGGGAAGACTTTGCCAGCAGTTCTAGTTAGCTCAGAAACTCTTTTATTCATTAAAGTCGTATTTCTTTCTGAGCTTTTTCTCAGGTTTGTGGTGTTTCTTCAAAACGCATCTTCAGAAGAACATGGCCCTCTCTCGCGCATCAGAGACGATACCAAAGGTTGGGGCAAACACGGTGTGGGGCTGGCAGGCACTGCCAGAGCATGGTGTGTGGCTTTAGGCTGAAGCAGGCACACGGGATTCATTTCTCACAAGGGACCCAGCAAGGCACCTGCCTTACAGAACCCTTTTTTCTGCTGATTTAACGGGAAAACCACAGATCCCTTTCCTGCCAGGGCCTGGGCCTCAGCCCTGGGCCAGACTTGCAGATGACAATGCCAGTGCTGTGGATCAGCACATTGCAGATCACGAGAGGCCTCCCGTACCGGTGCCTGGAGCTGCACTGATCAGGGGACTCAGCCCCAACAAGGCTTTAGAAACAGAGCGCTGAACATTACAGTTCTGTTGGATGCAGACAAGTCTGGTTAGGATCTCACTCTTCAAAGTCCTCAGGTATTAGGGACCTTCAATCCACATACTTGGAAGGACAGACGGCTGAAGCAGCTTCTCTCATGTTAATTACTCTTGACCCATTTTGTCTGTTCCCAGCAAAGTGACTTTCAAAACAAGCCAAGTACCAATTTTCCTGGTGGCTGAACATTAAGAATTATGAAGTAAAGTTATGAAACATGCCATGAAAGGAGATTTCAGTACCATAATTACACACAGGGACAGTAACTCAGAGACAGGCAGACTATGCACTGAACTATTAGCAAGCTATAGACACTGTCAGTAAATCCCAGTGGGACATGAGCCGCTTTCTTGTTTCCATTTCCTACCACAGCAAGCCTCCCAGGGATGCAGGAGGTGTTGCTGTGTGAATGGTTTAGCCCCCTCGATTCTGTACTTGCACCAGTGCACATGGCCATCGGAAAAAAACAGGGCCGAGCACCCAGGCAGTGAGTGTCATGTGTAATAAACAGTTAAGCCTTATGATTAATTAGAGCTTTGGTATGCAAGAACTAAAGTCATGTAACACTTCAGCAATCCTGCTGCTCGGGCAGATGATGCGTTGCTACATTCATTAGGGAGTAATGAAAGGTGCTGAAAAGTCCTTGTAGTGACAGTACCAAGGCAGATCAACAGAAAATACTGAACCAGCCCCAGCCTGCTGTGTGGATAGAGCTTGTGTATGGGAACATAACCAAGAAGACATTACTTTTGTGATGAGGTCCTTGTTGCTAACAAAGGAAGCTTCCAGTCCCCTTGAAGGGGAGGTGGTTTCAGGAGGATAACCTCGTTTTTTCTGTGTACACAGAACTGACAGAATCTGGATCGAGTCTCGTATTCTGCTCATGCAGACAAGTGGATTGCAATTTCTTCCCCCCTGCATGAGCTCACACACAAAGTGACTTTTCCAAGGCTCCCAAATGTTTTCCAGCTCTTGCACACATCCTGCATTTTGCCATTCAGTAGCACCCGCAGCTGTGATGCTGCTGGCCTGACTCTCGCATGCATATGCAGGGTTTGCCCAGTTCTTGTCTTTCTCCCACTCCTCTGGGAAGTCATGAGTGGCACAAGGGAGAAAGCTGCAGAGCCATGTGATGGGGCAGGCTCTCAGAGCAGGCTGTTACAGGGTGATGGCAGGGAAGGCACTTTCAGCATGTTCCCAAAATCCTTAGAGCCAAAGGGTCAAGTAGGTCATTCTTGTGACATCTTCATTCTTGAGCGTCGTTACTAGAGGTTTTAATTGCGACACTCCAAATGCACATGGTGCTGTGCACACCTGAGTAACACAAGAGCCATTTTCCCCTGCCTTTCCCAAAAGCCTTTTACAGAGGCACGGCAGGAGTCCAGGCTGGCAGGAAGGTGATAGAGCTGCTGTAGTGGAGAATGGGCTCTGGGGCCTGGCTCTGGCTGTAAATCCAACCAGACTACTTCAATTCCTACCTCTGTGTATTGCAGAGGGGAGCTCGATGTTGCCTGCAAGTAGGATGGAACAGCATGTGATAAATTATTTAGTTCCTGTAGTACCTCTGGATACCAGCCACCTCTTCTCATGCAGCCCAGAGGAGCCTGGGAGGCCATACAAGTATTCAGAGGCATCTTTCTGCAGGAGTATGAGCTCCAGAAGGTCTAGCTCTGACTACTGACTAGTTCTTTCCATTGCAGTGTTCAAAATTCTATTCAAGTCAGTTTCTGGATGTGTTTGAAGCCCATCACACGGCTGTGGATTCAGTCAGCTGGAATCCCTACCACTCAAAAGTCTTCATTTCCTGCAGCTCTGACTGGACAGTCAAGATCTGGGATCACACCATCAAGTAGGTCCTGCTGGGTCCTGGTGTGGGTGGGGAGGTGCAGCCTGACATGCCAGCTGCACAAATTGACTCTACTCATACCTCCGTCTCAGTTTCCCTCTTAGGTGTTGATATTGCTAATTGCTCTCTTATCTCTGTTTTGGGGGCTGATGACTCAGATTTGTACTCCCTAGGTACAAGATAAAAGATTTAGTGTCAGCTGCCCCAGGAATTTGACTGTCTTTCTTCAGGCAGGACCTACTGTGGCAGGGTTGTTCTTCTGGAGCAATGCTAAGAGAAATGTCAGGGGCTGGCTTATGGCCCCAGGGGCCAGACACCTCCTAAAAGTCAAAAAGGCCAAAAAAAAAAAAGAAATTGGAACATTTAAAAATACATAATGAAGTTCAGGGTTAGTGGTTGAGGAATGTCTGGTTTCAATCAGGAAATTGATTTTGTTGTAAATCAGTCAGAGTCAAATATCTCCTGTTGCCAAATCTGCTCTAATATTCAGTATGGTTGTCAGAAGTCCAGAGAGGGAAAAATCACTTTTTCCCATATGATTATTAACCAGAGAGACTCCATCTTGCTCTGTGTGTTGGGGAGAAACTTTCAAAATGCTTTCAGAAAGAAAGAAACATGCTACCTTTCTTCTCATCACAGCTGGACCAACCCTGACCCTTTTGGGTTGATGCTCGGCTTTGCTTTGCCTTTGGCTCAGACCCTGGCTGGTATCTGACATATAGAAACACTCCATGTCCCACCCACTTCTGCGGCTGGCCTTGAACAACACAGGCTGCAGCATCAACCTGTTTATAGCTCAATGTTTCACTTCCAGAGCGGCATGTGCTTAAATGAGTTCTTCTCACTGAGTCTTTTTTTTCAGGACTCCGATGTTTATTTATGACCTGAATTCTGCTGTAGGGGACGTTGCGTGGTCCCCTTACTCCTCCACGGTCTTTGCTGCAGTCACCACTGATGGAAAGGTAAGAGGCTGGGAGAAACACCGCTCTGATTTGAGCCAAGAGAAGGTCAAGGGAGATTAGGGTTGAGTGTGGGAACAGGTCAGCCCAAACCTGGCCAAGCATGTCAGGGAGCTGCAGATCCCCCACCGGCAGGAATCCACCACGGTGATGGGCTGAGTTGGCTGCAGCACGCCTGACCTGCTTGCCCCAGGATGGCAGGCTCATTTTGGTAGCTGAAGGCCCTAAAACTATTAATTCCTTTTTGCTCAGTTTGATTATAGAGGATACAGAAGTCATAAAGCAACAGAGATGAGGAAACCTGGGCTGCAGCATTTCTTACTCTTACTCTTACTCTTACTCCTCCTCCTCCTCCTCCTCCTCCTCCTCCTCAGGTCTGCCACACCCTTACTAGCAACAAGGCCAGAAATCCCTCAGCTGCAGCCCAATCATACAAACAGCTGATGTTAAATCACAACTTAGAGAGCTTTTAGCAGAGCTTTTAGCAGATGCTGAGGATCAGCTGCACATCTCACTGCAGCTTTGACAAACCCATCAGAAATGCATGTGGGCCCTCTCCTCTAAGCACAGGTGCCTCAAACACTTAACTCCCTCTATGTGAAATCAGCTTATTAGCCAGTGATCCTTGGGGATGGAGAGATAACGCTCCAGATCACAGCACCCCTAATATGAGCTGACATCAGGCCATAGGTTCTGAGCCTCCAAGATACAGAGAAGTGGTAGAATAAAGTGTTTATATACTTACATTGATATTAAAAAATCAATTATAGTAATATACCCAGGGTCAGCCAATAGAACTTTGTTCCGATTAAATAAAATCAACATTTTCACACAGTGTGAGGCTGTCTCCAAGAGTAATGATTTGGTAATGAAGTACTTAGACCAGTCCTAATATTGAGATGATAGCAGTTATATTTTTGCCCCTAGCCATCCATCTTAGTAGCTCAGATGGTTCATTTGGGCCAGGCAAGTAGCCAGGGCATGTAGCTATCCATCAATGCTGGTTTTGTACCGTAAGACCACATTGCTCTGTCACCATGGGCTGTATGTTTTGCCGGTACAGATTGGAAAGTCTGTGCAGTTTGGCCAAATTACTCTAGGAAAAAGATGGCCTTTATATATCTCTATCATTGAATTGATGCCTTGGCAACTTTATTGCAGTTTAACCTTTATGTTATAGCAAAAAATTCATTTCACTGATACACTGGCTCAGGCTGTGAATTTGTCTCTCCCAAGCTAAGCAATAGAAATCTCTTAGCTGGGGCATGTAGCCTCCCCTGGAAGCTCAGGATGCCACAGCCTACAGACAGCAGCATTGATGCTTTTCCCTCGCAGGCAATGTCAGGATCGGGCCCTTTCTTCATGGGTCTGTCTGTCTGCATTCTCCCATATACCAAATGAAGGGCCTGCATGAATGAAATCAATGCAATGTTACACATTCTCTGACTTGTTTTCCACAAGTAAAGTTGTGTGTGCCTTCAATCCTGGCAAGGGTCCTGCTGACATTAACAGCTTCAGTTGAGGGCTGGGGTGAGCAGTGCAGAGAACTGTGGGTACCCCAGCTGTGTCCTGGTGCCTAACTGTGAGGAAGAGGATGGAGATGTCTGCAGGCTATGATACATCCTGGGCAGCATGAGCAGATGGAGGGTAAACACTGGGTGTACTTGGATTTCTTATTCACGTCGTCATGTTTCTGCAGTGATAGCTCAGCTCTGCGGAGGCTTTGTGCTACTCGCTGGGCCAGGTTCTTTGTCAGAGATTTACCTGATGCAGAGATGCTCTTAAGGACTTGGCAAGAGTTTGTGCAATGGGATCTTTCCATCCCACCACTGGCTTGTCCTACCCACTGCTGCAGTGACTCTCGTTGTGTTGTTGCAGGGTCACGTTAGCTGCAGCATCCATGAGCCTGGAATTTGTATGAGGCTATGGGTAAGACAGAGGACCATCTGACTTGGCAGCACTGCATCTAGGATATCTCACCTTGGCTGTCCTACCTTGGATCTAATTCAGTAATCCTAATTAGATCCTAATCTAGTAGGGTCTAATTCTGCCTTATGCCTTTAATCCCAAACTCCGAGAAGACTAGCCATCAGCCAGGAGCAGCCCAGAACTGGGCTGCCTAGCAGGAAAGGTCCAGGCAAGAGCTACCTTCCCATTGCATTTAGGCTGGACAGGACTGATGCTGATAGAAATCCTGGGCCTCTGTGTTAGCCACTAACCACGCTGGCTGCAGCAGGGTGTGTCTGAAACATGGTTTAGTTTCTATTTTGAACAGAACCTTCTAGGTCTGCAGTGGAAGTGGAATAAATAGTTGTTTACAGCCTTTTCGTTCCTGGACATATTCCACTTTGTAGCAGAGTGCACTTCTTGGGAATAACTCAGCGCCTCACAAAGGGCAGTCGCCATTAATGCTGGGAAAAAGTCTACATTAACAGGATACAGAAAACTACCGGACGTGCAGCCAGAAAATAAAACATTAAAGCCTCCTGTTCATAAACAGCCTCTAGCTTTGCATCCGCACATAATTATGCCTGCAAAACTTGAAGGTTGCCTGGAGGTGGTTTTAAAATCAAGCCCTAATTGCAGTCTTAAAGGGATACCTGGCTTATTTTGAAAAACACGTTTCCTTATTCAAAGCTGTATGTGTCCAAAATGTGTGTATCAGCCCCCTAACTCCTGACACTGACTTGGAAACTGGGAGCATTTTAGCATCTAAAAATCTTTCGGTCCCCATGAATCCAGGAGGTGGAGATTTAAGAAAGGCTGTAAATATCAGGGGTATTATGATAAAATGTGTGTGTTGGCAGCTGGGCATCTGCTTCGAACAGCACCACCTCTGCATAAATAACCTGAGTGTGCGTGTCCTACTGCTGGTGCAGTGGATACTAACTGCTACTATTGCTCTTTATCATGTTCTGGGTAATTTCCGTAGTCTCCTTCTCTGCCTGATGGCCATTTTATTTTGGACTGAGCATAAATGATTTGCACTGAAAATTGAAGTAAAATAAAATGATCACTGAGACATGCACAGCCATGCCAACACTGCCTGGGAAAAAACCTCCCAATTCTATAACTAGATACCTAAATAAATGGCCTGATTTTAAAAAGACTGGACAGCCCGTTGCTTTTATGGAGGCTAGTCTCCGCTGGATGCGCTCAGAGTCGTTGCTATAGAACATTCAGTTTTGGTTTCAATCAGTGTGGTAAGTCCACTGCAGTTTTGCTCTGTGATTTCATTTCAGATGACACTTAAATTCCTTGAAGACTCCACAGTGGTTGCTAAAGCAGACAGGTGGAGAGATCTGTTATTTCTAAACATGAGTCCTGCAGCTCAGTTGGCTGGCAGCAGCTCTGTGGTCCCTCCAGGCCATCTCCTACAGGGACCTGGGTGCAGATACTGATGTGATTAGCACTGAAATAAAATGAGGTTAGAGAACGCCTAGTTTAGTTTAGGTTGTAAATGGTGAAAGCCTTACAGGAAGAAAAAGGCTACGTGGGATGAGACCTGCTTTGGAAGCAAAAAGGTGGATTTGGATACCTGGACCCTTACACTTAGGGTGCAGAAAATCTGGGGATGTTCGTCAGCTTATTGTAAGGACAGGGGCCAGAGAAACAAGGAGGGGTGGAATTCAATCCCTGCAGCATTCAACGGGATTTGCCTTTGGGAGTTTGCTTTAAGCTCATCTCAAATTTACACTTAAAGCAGGAACTAAAAATTGAAACTTGTAAATGCAAGAATCACACCTGAAATTTCATTCTTGAGCTTCTTTTACTTACTTTCCTTAAATAATGAAATGGTGTTGGCAGGTTGTGCTGTGCAGGGGCAATGCCACAAACCTCTATGTCTGGCTCACTCCGGGCATGCAGATGCGTTCTTGTGCAGAATTCATGTACGAATTGTTACCCCTGTTAAAAAGGCCAAAGACATCCATGTCACAAGTGTCTCCAGATGGCTGGATCACAGGCTGTGAGCCACAGCTGCCCCATGCAGTGGCTGTAATGGCATGGTCAAGCTGGGTGTGTTCAGCCTAGAGAAGAAATGCAGCAGCCTGCCAGTGCCTGCAAGGAGGTCATCAAGAAGTTAGAGCCAAAATATTCATAGAAATGTGCAAAGGGATGATAAGACACAACAGCTGAAATTGTTGAAATGAGATGTTTGGACCGGATATAAGGAAAAACTTTCTCTGTGAAGGCAGTCAAGTAGTGGAACAGCTTGCCCAAAGAGGTTGTGCCATCTCTGTCCATGGAGGTTTTCAAGACCAGATTGAGCAGGTCCCTGAGCAGCCGCATCTGACCTCAGAGCTGACCCTGCTTTGGGCAGGAGGTTGGAACAGAGACTTCTAGGGGTCTCTTCCAACCTGAATTACCTTCTAGCCCTGTGACACTATGAAATGTCCTTGTGTGAGAAGGACCTCAGGGGTTTTACAACAGGCTTGGGAGCATCCCATAAGTACAAGTCCATTTGCTCTCATGTTTTTGTGGTCTGCGTCTTTCATGACTAATGCAGCAAAAGCAAGGTGATGTTATAGCCATCTTTAGTAAATATTGATAGCCTCAAGATAAATGCTGTCCAAATGTGCACTCTGCAGAGAAAGCTGCTCAGACATACGCTCCAGGGCTTTTCCCCATTACTGAAGCTGTTGACCTTTCAATATGTGAAATACCTGAAACAACCCAAACCTTCAGGAAACTAGCTAATGCTTTGTGCTGCTCAGGAAGTGAGTGTGCTTATCCTGCTTATATAAACATATTTTACTGAATAACTGTTTTGTATGAGAAGTCTTGAAGACCAGGTTCCTGTTGTATCTCACTTGAGGGATAAGATGACAAAGAAATGCCTGTTGTCTCGATACCCATCCTTTCCCAGCTAGGAGAGAAGCATTTGTTTAGCACTGGTGTGTGTGTGTGTGTTCATAGAGCAATTTGCAGAGACTTGCTGCCCATCTAGCATTGACCAGCAGCAAAAGCCAATCTCCTGTCTTTAAAACCATAAACAATTTTGC